ATATACTAGACTACCGCATATCTAGTAGCCTCTCGAAACTTCAGGAAGGGACGTGAACGTTCGAGAATATGACGTGTTACTAGAGTCACGTGACCCCCGCTGTCGTAACAATATCTTTTTATTTTTTACGATATTTTCATTTAACTTCTATGGGATAATTTGGAGCCAATCGACCATCTAGGATCTTTCATTTTTTAAACCACATAAAGAATTTCGTTAACTTGTAAAACCAATCCTGAACTCCAAATTACTCCGTCAATCTCTTCACTTTTTAATGCTGCCAACAATTTCTATCATACCCGAAGCTTGTATGAAAGTAATATTGTCAGAAGTTGTGCCGGAAAGCTTTTGTCCTCTAGTCGTATCATCTGCATTTTTTTTTTAATGCCATCTTGATTTGATGATTTTCAAATACTGGTCGCTAACTGTTCAGATTGTTCATTCGTAAGTCTTTACTGCTACGAAATAATAGTTGTTCTAATACTAGTAATACTACTGTTTGTAGTAATTGTTAAAGATAATAAGTATAAGAAAATATGACTCAGGAAGGAGGTGATACAATTTTTGGAAAGATTATACGTGGAGAAATACCTGCCAATTTTGCTTATCAAGATGAAAAGGTAAAATCCGCGAAACCCTGGCAGTGCTGTGTAGCCGAAATATCGGTGTCAAATTGCAATGTAAACAAAAAAAGAAAGAAAAACTTGTACCTATCCCGATATTTGGGCTACAGTGCTGTATCAGAAAGTTACTGCTAATATTAGTAATAATAGTAGACGAACGTTAGTGGTAGTCTGTAATTAAACATTAAAACAAGGATACCATAAATATGGCACTGTATAATATAGTATATTGATTTCTTCTTATTAAAGGGATGGGCAAGGCTGAAAATATTATTTTACGTTAGAACTTGCAGCATTATGGGAGATATTTTGAGTTAAAAAGTTGTTAATCGTTTAAACACATGAAGCAGCTCTTCATTAGCTTGCTTCTGTAGCATTATTAAACTTTAATTTAAAGAGCCAATTAAATTGTTAAACTCATAGCCAAATACCTGAAATAGCACAAAATTCATTCCCAATAGCTTTTACATTTACATTTATCATCAACATAACTACTAATTTAGTATTTTTATGAAAATTTCTTCTACAAATACAATTTAAAATACTTACTAAAGCATTTGAAAACTGATTTCATAAAGTGAAGTATGCAACCAAGATATTTACTAGTATTGTACTAGTTACATTTAGAAGAAAAAAAAGATGAATTATTATTCCCAACAAATTCAAGTGTTGAATGTTTATTTATACCCTCAAGGTTTTTGTGCTTTGCCCCTGTGCCCATTGTCAATTCAGTTGATGTAAATGCAGTTAAGAGACACTGCTCATGAATTTTATGCTCATCCCTACTTGTGTATAATTTTATTTCTAGCCAACAACTATAATTAATTTATCTTTTCTTCTCCAGAAATATTTTTTCATTATTCAATAATTACATCCTGCTCAAACATTTTTTAAAACTTAACTCTTAGAAGAACCAGAAACTGTGCACTTTAAAGTTACACCACAGCTTCTACACTTAAAGTTTTATTAAGATTTTATGCTAATTTGTACATTCTCAGATCTGTGATTGTTAACATCTTTTCTTTGTATAAGGAATATATTTACCTTGGTGTCTCCAAGTAACTCAGCTACCCAATTCACAACAGATAATTATTGTCGCATCCCTTCAAAATTTGTTT